TACCTATTAAAGGTAATTAAAATCAGTTCAATAATTTAGTGACTAAATTTGCACCAAATTTAGTTTGTTGTATATTTAAATTATTATAGTATGTAATTTTGTAAAACAAAATAAACTCATTAAATTAGTGATAGATACATTAAATAACTACATTTACATATGTAATATGTATAATTTATACACACATTGCTATTTAGAATTAAAAATTAAACTAAACAGGATGAGCCAATAATAATGATTTAGCTGATTCTATTATTCACCAATTAAAGAAATTTCTATGCATTTAATTTATTAAGTGAAAAATGTATCCTTTGCAATAAAAAAAAAAATAAAAAAAAAATAATGTCTTGATTTTTACAAAATTGGTCTTAATGAATTAGTTATTCGAAAACATGTTTCATTTCACTGTTTGTTGATTATTATTGTATACGTTTTATTATTCAATCTTTCATCATTGAATAAACGTTTATTTTTCTATAGGTACAAGATAAAAAATATTATAATTTTGTTTTAATATTTTGTCATATATATTTTAATAATAGTAATAATATTTTGGTCAGCTTAAATATATTCTATTGTTAGTTTTTTTCATAAGAGGTAATTAAAACTAACGTAATTTTAAAAAGTGAATTGGATTAAATTGTATTGAAATTAAGGACGTCCTTAAGAGAGAGCTCCTATGGTCTTTTTTTTTTCTAAAAAATTGTTGTTTTTATTATATACCACACTAGGAAAGTATATAAATGTGAATACAAATAAAGTTTACGTTCCCCCATAAAAGGGTCTAGGAATGCCACAGATTGAGATGACATAAAATTGTAAAATAGTAAACGATTCTATCCATCAGAATTATGATGAAATGGAAATTAAAAAGGAAGAAAGTTAATCAGAGTATTCAGTGAACTATTAAAAAGAGAAAAGATAAATGAGGGATTATTTTGATAAGAAAATAATTTAAAGTATGAATTCTAATGGATGATTAAATATGAGTGAAGTCATAAAGGGTGTTCGATATTTATTATAAAGGCAGCAAAAGAAAATTGGTTTTGTACTTGCTCTATGCGTAGTTGATCACGTGTAAATTATGGAACAAACTACTGTGCAATTTTATGTTATATTATTTAAAATGTTTTTATTTTCCAATTAATATTATTTCTAATGTATATCTTTAGTAATATTAGGCAGTTTTTCAATATGACATTAAGTGTGGGATGGTTTAACAGAGAGTGCATTATAACCTCTGCAATTACAACAAAATAAAATCATAACGATATGCCTAAATAAACACAAATTAGAAGTATCTACATTACAAAATTTATAAGAACTAAAAGAATCGGTTTATAAAAAAATTGCAATAAAATGAATACTAAGAGATATGGGAAATCGGTACAACAAAAATAATTTTAAAAACATTAGAAAGAGTATGGTATATGATACTAAAATTAACTATGCAAATTCTTAATTCGCTCAACAATTTTTGGATTATACTGGTTTAAAATTTTATAATTCTTTAATTAAGTAAATTAATTAAAAAAAGTATAATACTAAAACCAAAAAATTTGAAAAAATTGGTCTTTATTGTATATAAAATAAAACTGTATTTTATGTAATTTTTCTCTATGTTTTTATTTTTATTTTTATTATATTGTATTACTGAATATCATGTATTTTACTTATCTTAATCTAAATATAAGTCATCTCAATCTGTAAAATAATATGAACTTTATACATAAATAAATTATAAATCAATATAATTCAATAATTGTTATAATTATATGGTACACCATAAGTGAATTTCATAGCAAAGTATTCCTTCAAATTGTTAATTATTTATATTATTTATAAATTTAGCTATAGATAACTCTCTACCTTTAAAATAAGTTTTGCTTAAAGAAATTATCTTAAACAAAACAAAACTATGTAAAAATAATTTATATATCTGATTTATTTAAATTTGCTTTATAAAAGGATTTTAAATTTTATAACTAAAAAAACATCATAAGTCACTCAAATATTATTATATTTATATATAAAATATAAGCGTTAACATATAGATACATATGAATATGAAATTATTAAGGAACATTTTTAATTTATTATCTATATAGATTTATATTTTTAGAAATAATAAAAAGAACAAAAACAAAGTAATTATTCTTGGTGTAGACTAATTAATTTATCATCAGTTAAAACATTGAAGTGAAAAATTAAAGTTCAAGATTTTAAGTTTATACTGGTTTTTGGTTCTACTATATTTTATAGTAGTTTAAAAATGTAATTATTTGTGCTGATATTTAAATTAAAGATAAAGTGCATTAATTGATATTTAATTATTAAATTTACTTATTTAATTGATTTTTATAAGATGTTAATTGTTTTAATTTCCATATCTATACATTTCGAACAAATAAGTTAATACCATATTTTTAAATTATTTTTTAATATAGAAATTTATTTTTGCTTTCAAATTAATCAAAATATATCACAGCGTCTCCCATCATAGTATTATAAACAGATTTCGAATTATTTTTTAGTATCTAATACTCATCACCAGTAATTTGTCAAAGTACCAAGAAGTAAAGCGCCGTAGGACAAACATGTCTTGGTCCCAGTGTCTACCAGATATTTTATTTATGCCGATAGTCTCACAAATTACTAACCATACAATTTTTTTAATTTTTTTTCCATACGGGTACTGGTTTGGTTTTTTTAAATTTAAACAAAGGTTATGTTCTGATTCCATAATTTATACAAAATTCCGGGTTCTAAAACCGGTTCTTTTCAGTCCGGTTTCAATCCTTATTTAACTTTATGTCTAAAATAATGTTATAATTATCATAAAACATGTTTTTTCGGTTATAGATATATAAGTATTAATTTTGCACATAACTGGAGACATCATAATGAAATCAATAAAACAGTACCTCTTAGTAGAGAGTGTATTGAGATATAATTGAGTAGGTACTAGAAAAATATACTAAAAAGGATAACATAAATATGTATAATAAAATTATTTTTAATTTAATATTAGTTGGAAAATATTAATGGATTGAAAAACTAATACATTACATTTAATAAAAAGAACATAAACTACCAATTTGGTTTTAAAATTGTATTTAGGATTATACATTGTTATACATTTGATTAATTTTTAACTGTATTATATATTTATAACAAAATAAAAATGGTAATAAATTTAGTTAAACAATTAATATAATTATTTTTTCATTGTAATTTTAAATTTTCCAAACAAAGAATTTACTAAGTGTTGCTTTAATTATTTAAAAAATAATTCTATAAAAAACTATTAGTAATTACAATTTAAAGAACATTTTAATTTAAGAAGATAAAAATGTTTTAAGGTTTATAATTTTTATCATTTAAATACCTTAAATCAGGTGATATAAAATTTTATTTTAATCTTAGAAATTTTTTTTCATACAAAGATAAAACACAAAATCGAATTTATTAATTTTATTTATAGTTTTCGATAGTAATTTGTATGATTTTAATAAACATATACTATAGAAATTATATCAAATTATATTTAATATTAAACGATAATTGATATTTATTATATTAAATTTATAAAAAAAACTTACTGTGTAGGCATATTATGTAAAGCTCTTAATAAAAATAATAAATTGTTCAATTAGATTGTACGAAAAATTAAAGAGATATCAAGGTGATATGAATAGCGATATTGTTCGTAGACATTATTTTTACCTACTATTTTTATATAGGTAGTCGAATACTTGCTTTATATCTAAATGGAGGGTCACGTTAGTTCATAACTAGTCGCTATAGGATTCGGTAGTTCGGTGAAGTGATTTGATTTTTAGCCAGGTGTTTAAAACAAGATATTTTTTTAAAATTATTATGTTACCCACAGAAGAAAATAAATCATTAAAACACGAAAATGATGTTTTAAAACTAGTGACATCTATTGATCTTAATGCAGTAAGAATTAAATTTTTCATCAGTATTTAAAATTTTAATAAATAGTAATTTTACTGTGAATGTTCTTGATTAGGATGAAATATAAAATTTACCTATTAACAATTAATTTATAATATATAAATTAAAATGTAAAATAAATATCAGAAGATTACTTTATAATTTCAAAACAATGATACATTTAATATTTTCATACTTTAATTATATTCATCGATTTTTTAATAATATTTATTTATGTAATTTGAATAAAAATTGAGGTTAATTTAGAATTGGTAAGATTTTACTTATCAAAACTTAATTTTAAAATAGTTCACAAAATTGTAAAACATTTTATATTCAAGTTCATTAAAAGTTTTTCATTTAATTAATCTTATATTAACTTCTGGAAATTAGATATAACTTTCTAAGGTCTTGCATTATAGAATTTATAGCACACGAAAGATTAATAATTATTAACTATTATTAACACGGATAGTTGAAGTAGCACATTGTGCTTATTTGCTTTTATACATTTATTGTCTTTATAAAATAAGGAGTTCTTATCCTATATGAATGATGTAATACTTAATTTTTAAATTATTCATTGATTTGATATACTATGTAATATTATAAAATACTAAAATTATGAATTATTTAATAAAAAAAAGAGAACTAGGTAATAACTGAGTAATTTTTATATTTGTACATAAAATTATAGATATATTTATAAGAAATATTAATTTAAGTTTCTATAATCATAAAAAAAGCTACAATTTTATTAATTACCTAACCAAAATTATATTTTTCAACAAACAAAATGTATTGCTTGAGATCAAATTAAAATTGATTTATTAGTTTTTAATTTGACCAATGGATATTTCTTATCATATTTAAAAACTATATTTGTACCTAATATTGCAGTATAAAACTAGTTTATAATAACTAATATTAAATATGTCTAAATTATATCATAATTTTTGCCTATCAAACTTTTTAAAACTTTTTTATGCAGCTTAAAAATATACTGTAATTATTAAAAAATATATAATTGTTTTGTATTTCAGACTGATATTTCTGATACAAACGGAAAACTATCGGGCCGATCTAAATCACCTAAGCAGACAGACGACGAAACTTTGTCACTCTTAATGATTGAGAACGGAGATATGACAAAAAACAAATGGAAATCCGATTTTGTCAATAACCGATCAAGTGAAAAAAATGAGCAATCAAGAAAAGTAAATGCCGTGCATAGGCTTAGTGTCTTGTCTGTAGGCTTCATTTCAGCCCTCCACCCAACTTCGTAAGCTTACCTAATCGTCAATAAAGTTAAATTTATTTTTATAAATTTAACGGTATTTTGTACAGAATATGTTTTTACTGAAGCTTATGCGTCAAAAATATAATTTTTTTTATTGTTAAAATTTCCTTTTCTTCTTAAAAATTTGATATTAGTTATGGTATACAAAATTATGTTTTTTCTATAAAATCATTAGAGTAAATAGGACTTTTTGATGTTAATTTTGGCAATAAAGCTTCTGTAAAACATATTCTATGGTATAATATTATTTTATAAATATTCGAAATTATTTTAGATATCTTGATACATTATTCAATATGTTGAAAGGAAACCTAGGATGTGGAATTTTGGCAATGGGTGACGCATTTAAAAATGGAGGATTACTTTTATCACCAGTTTTAACATTTGTCATTGGTTCAATTTGCGTTTATAACCAACACTTACTAGTAAGGAAATATTATAAAATAAAACTTTAATAAAAGTGCAATATAAAATTATAATTTTGTAAAATGAAAACAACTAATTAAATAAAATATATCATTACACTTAAATATAAAACTTTGTCACAGAAATTATTATTCATACTTGTAAGTTAATTTTTGAATATATATTAAAAATGTATTTGTAATTTAGATTCATTATGTCCTAGATTAACAATTACATTTAGTGATTAGAACAATACAAGTATGAATTATCACTGATAACTACGAAAAAAATGAAAAAGCCTATTATGAAAATAGCTTTAATAAAAAAATACTACTATTTTCTATTAATAGTATGTTTAATATTTTATTATGCATCTTTTAGTAATTTAGGATAGATTATATCATTAGTTTTTTTTTATTCGCAAATGTAATATAATGAGTCTAAGAATATAGCAAAATTAAATTTTAAATTTTATGTGATATCAATGCATTTTTAAACATTTATTTTTCAGTTATTCTTTTATGATTTATTTTTGAGAAATCATATTACTTAATTTAATATTTGTTGATTCATGATATTGTGGATTAAATTATTTTTAAATAGATTTCATTCGAAAAATAAAAATGTATCTATAGATGTACTGTATAATGATTGAATTGATGATTCCAGAAACGTTACGAATCACATATTTTATGAAATTGAAGTATTAGTGAAAACGTATACTATTCATCCGTTTTGTATGTAAACACTGATTATTATTATTTATTTATCTGATAAAACAAGTATAACTAAAGACGTTACTACACTCAATGCATAGAAACACGTGATTAGTATACTTATACTAACATCTCAATTTCATAAAATATGTGACTCGTGACGTTTCTGCAATCATCAGTTTAATTATAGATAATTGTTACAAAAATAAAACAAATTTTAACATATATTTTCACAAAAGTGTCCTATTATTGAGTAACTATATAATATAAAAATATGCAATTAGATTCTAAATACGAAATATTTATTAATATTGTTCTTATTCTAATAAAAGTTTATATTTAAAGTTATTATTCTTTTTATTATTATTTTTTTTATTGAAATAAATGACAAAGTTGATTTAGCGTACAAAATAATATATAGTAAATTCAATAAAATATATTATAACAGCAGACAAAATAATAACATCAAATATAATTATATAACATTAGCTAAATACTGTTGAACAGATTTAACAATTACTTAACCAATTAAAGAAAACAAGTTTATCATATTATTAAATTTTACTTACTTTGAAAAAACATAAATGATTAATGTTGCAACTAAATTATTTTAAGTAACATAACTGATGTAAAGAAAAAATGTGTATAGTAAGAGTGCTAACGTTTTTAAAAAACAATTAAGAAATGATTGTATTTTAAAATTATAAGCAACAACAACAATAAATTAGAATTTACAAAAATGAAAACTAAATTAGTTGTATCTAATATTAAAGTTTAAATTAATATATAAAATTGCGGTTAGTATATTGAAATTGAAAAATAAAATTCCATTAATATTTTCATAGTTTTAGAATTGAAATTTTTTTACATACTTTTATGATTTTATCGCAATGTTTTTATAATTATACATATTTTTATGATAACCTTCATTATAATTTGATAATTCTTATTATGATATTAAATATACTTATCATTCATAATATTTATTACGAATAAAAATATTTCATGACGAAAATGTAATGGTTTATCGGTTTGTTAAATAAAAAACACTCCTTTATAATCTAAATCTTAGAACTTCCTGGTTTGTTATTTTTAGATAACAAGGGTTGAGTTAATTATTACCTATAATATAAAATGGTATATATTTTTAAATTCAAAATTTACAGTAAACTGTTACTTATGAATAACTGTTTCCCACAATCAACCCTATTTTATTAATGTTTATAAAATCAATTTGTTCAAAGTATTGAGTGCTTGTTGTTAATTGCTTAATATTAGGACACGCTGCTGATTACCGCCTAATAAGGATTAAGACATAGATATATTAAATTTAACATTGTAATTTATACAAGGATTTCTTAGATACTATGAACATATTTAATATGAATATTAAACCATTCCGATCTTTGATTATTTGATTTTATAACTAATTCCAATCTTAAATAATTACATAGAATGAATTGTGGTAATTTGAATTATTTAAATTTATATATATTTGTATTTAATTAACTTGCCTGTGTAATTTTATGTTGTATTATTTAAAATTTTAAATTCAAAATGTATACTTAAAACACATCTGTTGATGCATTATAAAATATAGGTACACTCTTTTGAAAAAAAATTAACAATAATTGAATACGGGATATAGTTTCACATCACTTTTCATAGAAGTATTTTAAGTGTGTAAAGTAATAAATTTATTTTTAGGTGGGTTGTTCAAAATCTGTTAAAGAAAAACTGAAATTACAGCATAATCCTGAATTTGCTGAGACGCTAGAGCTATCATTTCAAACCGGACCCAAACGATTTCAAAGCTATTCAATATTTTTTCGGTGAGTTAATATTGACTAATATTTATTATAATTCGATTTTGTTAAAATTTTCATTTAATTTTAAAACAAATACTAAATACTAACTAAATGGAATTGAAAATACACTATGCAGATATTACTAATTAGTAATCATAAAAAATAACAATTCATAGATTGTTATTTATATTTATATTGATACATCAGAAATTCGTCAACAATATTTACATAAAATGATTGTAAATAACTTATGAGCTATTTAGAGTAAGGTATTTTATTATAAAAATTAAAAGAGATGGCATTTTTGAAAATATAACATATATTTTCTGTTTATTTACACACAGAAACATAGTATAATTTAATTTGTTAAAACCAGAATAATTGGTTTATAAAATAATGATTTAATGATATATTCATAGTAATATTAATTGTTAATAAAAGAAATTGTTGGTGGTGAGATGCATCTTTGACAGTTTATTATTATATTAGTTAAATATCTGTATATAATTAGATTTTAGTTATTTCACGCCCTAAACAGAAATCGCTCTTATTATTTTTATTAACCAATAGTGTAAACCCAGTTATGGCTTATATATTTTAACTTAAACTAACACAATAAAATTTAAAATATTTTGAAAATTATATCATCTTTAGTGAACGATGGTAATTTAATAGATATAAGACTTCTTTAAATATTATATTTAATTATTTATATAGAAATGATGTTTATTAATTCATAAAAATTTTGAGATGCAAATAGTGTTTTTTTATTTTTGAATATTATATCTAATTATTGGTTGTTGATAATTTATTTAGCCTATACACTTTTTAAAAATATTAATTACAATATAATATAATATTGATAACTATGTTTTGTTTTTTTATACAGGAATAGTGTAAATACATTTGTAGTCATCACACAGATGGGATTTTGTTGTGTCTATATTCTCTTCGTATCCAAATCCATTCAACAGGTATAAGATTCAATTTTTCTTTTAATGGTATTTGTTTAACTTAAAAATAAAGATATAACGTGTACGTTATACATCAATATTTTATGAATTATAAATGTAATTTATAACTCACCATATGTAAATACAATATATATTATAACTTAAGTTGAAGATAGAGAGTTATTATGGTAATTGAGTTAAATTTTATTAATATTATTTACATCTAATATATAATACTTGTAATATACTTGTATATTCATTATTTTTTGTTATTTAATATATAATACTTAATAAAAAATTATGAATATTAGCACAACAAAAACGGATAAAGAATAAAAAAATAAAAATAAATATTAATAGCATTATGTCTAATTAGCTGTACATACAATCATACATATATAATTATTAACTATAAAAAATCAAATATATTATAATCGTTAATATAATATTAATTATAGATTAGCTTGGATTATCTATTTTATTATAATTTCAAACTTTTAGGTATTGAAATGGACAATTTTGATTATTATATACTGAGAAAATTATAAAAAAAATATTATTATAATTTATTGTTATTTTTACAGTCAAAATGTTTTGAAGTCTAAATGGCTTGATTCTGAGATAACTTTCGTATGTACTTAATTATGAACTAAGACTGATTATTTTGAATACATTTCATAAAATTGTTCTGTAAATCATGAGTTAACAACCTTTTTACTGACGCTGGATATTTTTTCAGATTTTTATTAAGAGTTGTGTTAAATTTAAAACAAAAAAATATTAAAAACATAACTATACATAAAAATACTAACCTAATGATAATTTAAAAAATTATACTATGAATGTCATTAATTAATTGTTCTCATTAATCAACTTCGAGTAAAATTAAATATTTTATATTTATTATGATTTGAGGGGCAAAATTAAAATTTTAAACATCATAAAAATACGAGGACCACATATTGTTGGTACATGTTCTAAAATATCATTATAATTAATAGTAAAATATAGTATACATATATGTTTACCGATAATCACAGAATTTAACAAATTATTTTATAAATACACTCTTTTTTTCGCTATACAGTTATATATTATACGATTTCAATAAATTACACAATTTTATTATTAAATTTAATTTGTAGATTATAGGTTTATATTTAAAAAATAGTATGTACACATATTTAAATATATATATATATGTATAAGTTCAAGAGTGAAACAATACTGTAAAGTTACAATAATATATACGATTTTTTAAAACACAGAGTTCAATGAATTAAGAATTTAACTGAAAATGATTCTTATGTGGACTAATAGTTTGGTTACAACGAAAAAGAAATTTTAATAATTGATTCTTCAAAAAAATATTCGATAGTTATTAAATTACTATCTAAAACTGACAAGCAATTATAATTAGTGTGAACAGGTAGAGATAGTATTATATTTCTTAATAAAGATTATTATACAATTTATTCTGTTTAATATAAGTTTGTCAAAAACCAATTAACATTTTTTAAAAATAGCTTAAATATAATAATTCTTGGTTCGATTTTTTATCAATTATTAAACAATAAGTATCTAATTAAGATATTTCTAACTTACATTTTATTTTAATAGATGATGAGTTGGTATCATATAGAGTTGGATGTACACATGAGCATATTAATATCATTAATACCTATTTTAATTTCGTCACTCATCAGAAATTTAAAATTTATCGCTCGATTATCAGCAATAGCGAATTTCTGTATGCTAATTGGTTTAATTGTCATTCTATATTACTGTTCCTTTGATTTGCCATCAATAACCTCGAGAGCCTATGTAGCCCATTGGACTACAATACCTCTATTTTTTGGAACCAGTATTTTCGCATTTGAAGGAATTAGTTTGGTAAATACTATATAATTATTTTTATATTTTACATTGAAATTATTCTTATTATATAATATTTATGCATTCATTGTAGGTTTTGCCTTTAGAGCAAGAGATGAAAAATCCTAAACAATTTTCGACTTCATTCGGAGTACTAAATGTGGGTATGGTAATTACTACGAGTCTTTTAATACTAACTGGTTTTATGGGTTATTTAAAATTTGGAGATGCAGTACGAGGTAGTCTTACTTTAAACTTACCTGAGGAATTTTTGTAAGGATTATTTTATTATTTGTTTTTATCCTTATGTAATTTAAAATGTTGAATTTACAGTTTTTCTAAAGTCGTTATTTCAAGTATGATGTTTGGTATTATATGCACATATACATTGCAATTTTACGTTCCAGTTGAAATCATTTGGCCAAGAGTTGAGAATAAACTTGGACCTTTCAAATCACCTTTACTATGGGAAATAGGACTACGTGTTGTATTGGTGTTAATTACATGTAAGTTGATGTTAAAAATATTATTATTTACATAAGTTTTTGTCAATTCTACACTTAGGTATATAACAATGATGTTGATAAAAAATATTAGTGAATGGCGACAGTGTGATGGATAGAGTTGATGTATGGTTATTACATAAGAGATTAATGATAGTATAAAGTAGGTACTGATCTACAATATACGTTATGATCAATAATGTTGAGTATGACTAGGTGATATGGTCAGATCAGCTGTTTATCTCGGCGTTAGTGTTTTATAGAGGTCTTCTCTGACATTTTTACCTTTAATTTTACAATATGTCATGTCTCATAACTTGTAATTAAAACGTCAACCAAATTATTTGTAAGCATAAACAGTTAATAGACTTAGTTCGAAAGTCGTCCGAATTTTGAAAAAATGTACAGTGTATAGTATTTATATCATTATAGTAAGCGCGAATATCATTTTCATATGTATATATCATTGCTTGAAACTTTGAACGCTATGTAATTCGTTAGTTGATTTCGTACGCTAAGTTAACAAGTACAATAATATGACGAAAGTATGTAGACCAATGTTTGCTTACATACGCGTATAGAATTATTTGATAACTGAATAACATATGATTGTTATAAACGTATGAAAACTTTAATAATGATGCCGTAGTTGTACGTATATTTTTGTTTTTATTGTAAAATATACTTGTTTGTATATTGCAGTTTTAGCGGCTGACATAATACCGCACTTGAATTTGTTCATATCGCTAATTGGTGCTGTGGCCAGTACGTTCCTGGGGCTAATATTCCCGCCGCTATGTCACATGGCCGTTATCGGTTCCGACGATAGCAATGTCGGCTACGGTCGATTTCAATGGCGGTTGGTGATGAACATCATTACGCTACTGTTGGGTGGCCTAGGTTTTGCTACGGGCACATACGCCAGCGTATACGAGATATGCCACGAGTTCCAGATTCCGCTAATGTCGTCCGAAGCCGTTACTACTGCTGCTACTAGTATCGTTAATTCCACTTTACAAGCAGTGCACTGATCATCCGTTATTTTATCATTGACCTCGTCATAACCAACAACACCATCGTCTTACTACGTCTCCGTCGTTGCTTATACATGCCCCGCTCATCTTGGTACGCGGCTGTCGTGTAGTCCAGTGGTGTTGGTTTAAACCAATGAACTCACAATCGTTATTTCGCGTTGTGTGTGGATGGTGCTCAATGTTTACGATTTATAATAATAACATATAGATACATCCTACAAATGTGTAATATTTATGCATGATTATTTAAGTATATAAATTTATGTACAATAGAATTTATATAAATCTATATAGAGTAGATATAAGACACTTGTAAGAATATAATTGTTTGTAAGTTAAAAATTTTGTGTAATTCTCGATATATTTATTTTTTATTTAATACTATTTTTACTCTCCATACAAAGTATTGTTTATTACTCCTTTTGTTCCGTTTTTTTTGTACATCGTATTTTCTATAGATTTTTAATTTATTTTATAATTATTTGATTTTTTTCTATCATAAGAGTGTTTCGTAAAAAATTAAAAAAAAAACAAATCTAGAAATCAAGATATTATGAACGAATTTGTAATGTTATATACTTGAAATCGATCAATATACGTGAATGGATTAGTTTCTAATGTGTTTTTTTTAACATTATTATTCAGTTTAGATGATATAAATGTAGAATAATAAAAATAAATTTTAACATTCAATATATTTATTTATTTATTTAGAAATATTTTCTGTTATAATTTAATCTAATAAGACTATTATTTGGTATTTCTAAATATTAAGTAGGTATTATTATACAAATAAGTATTTTAGATACATAATATTATTTATGATTTATTAATAAAAAAAAATTTAATTTATAATATTTTCAAAATTGTATTTGATTGTAAATTATATTTTATTTAATAAAATTATGAAAGTTCATAAAAAATAATATTCAAGTTAATAGCCTTGATATCAAAACTTTACCTTAATAATAAATACATTTATCTTATATTATTTAATTTATTCATTTAATTTAAGAAGAATTATTTTTCACAGATGAAAATAATTTAGTAAAAAATCAAATACATAACACTAAAATAAGAGAATTATTGATAGCTATAATTTTTTTATATATAAATAATTTTGAGAAATAGTTTTTCATGAACTTTACATTATATTCTTAAGATTTCTTATTAAACTAAACCTCTTTTTAAAATAAAAATAAATATAAAAGTTTGAAAAAATGCTCAAAAGTATATTTTAAAAATCATGCTTAGAAAAATCGAACACTTGAATGACTAATGAAGTTACAGCTAATTATATTAATGATGCCAAAATTGACTTACAATAGCATGTTATAAAAGGTACCAGAATATGCTAGATTCTTACAAACACTAACATTCATTATACAAAAACAAAAAAAAAAAAATGAATAAATAAAATTTATTGGTCTAACTGATGAAGTATTTTTAATAGTAAACATGAATTTAAGGGAATATAAAAATTTGTATAATATATTTGAATGAGTTATTGGATACCTAATTTTACTAAAAAACATTCATATTTTTCAATACATATAAATATAATAAAATTAATATTTGACATTCCGTTTTCCAAATTCGACAAATGTTCAAGACAAGTTCTCTTACGTATTTTAGTAAGTTATGTGACGTAAACCAGAGGTTCCCAAACTTCTTATAGTACGACCCATTTTGGAAATTATTTCAATTTTGACGACCCAAAATAATATCATTTACCTTTTTTTTTTTTTTGCTATTTTTATCATTTTAAATTGAAGAAAATTATTATATTTATAAAAAAAAAAGTTTATACTATGTAATTTAATTAGTAAGTAATAATTTTAATGTGAAGGATGTAATTGTTTCCTATTTTTCATAGCTGGATTGATATCCATTTTTTATATTGATTGCAAAAAACTTGTTGTAAGCTCATCATCAATTAATTTTCTCTTTTGACCGCTGACTCAGATATTATCTCTGTTTCTTCAGTTTTCGTAGAACTTTGAGTTATTGACTTTTTATTTAACCATTTGTCCATAGTAACTATTCAAAATCACAAAAAAAAAAACGAATTTATTGGTTATTTGAAAAATAGCAAGATTTAAACTATTAAATGTACCGTTTGTTACTGAAAATAATCAATTTATTTGAACGTCATACAGGTACCAATTTGTTTCAAATATATTGCTATATTTTCAATAATCATTAATCCGATTGCGTTGTGTTGACACAGTCGAGCATAGACATATAAAGAAATATCGTTATGTCTATTGGTCGCAGTAAATTTGTAATTGTCACAAACCCAGATAACAGTTTATAATAAAACTAATTAAACAATTAAACATCAACCATAAGTAATAAAAACACATGAAAAAAAAATATATAGTAAAAAATACTATCTTCACTCTTTACATGAAATGTATGTTCCAATTCTAAATTTATATTTTGTTTTCAGAATATATATTTTGAGCAGTAGAAAGTCTATAATAAATATGCTTGACAAATGGTTTAGGTTTTCCATGTAAAAATTTAGGTGTCGCATCAGAAATGTTTGTATACTCTCTTGTAAGTTTTACATTTTTAAATGATATTATCTTAATGATTCTGATAAAAATTGATTAATTATGGTTTCTATGGTACTATTTAGAGACTTGTCACTTGTTAATTTTAAAATTATTAATTTTTAAAAATGCAATAAATAACTATCGAAACATTCATACTTATTTTAATAAATTACCTTTATATTTCACCGACTTACCACAACATAGTCAAAACCTAATTTTGATGAACTTTTAATAAATAAATTGAAATCATTAGTTTCTCCTTGAAGAGAAATATTATTCACTATATTTGAATTGACTAGAATATATTCCAGACTGTTGAAATATCTAGTATCTTCCATTTTAATAAAAATAATAATTTAAAAAACCACACCAAAGATAATTAAAAAATTAAATTAAAAAAAATCGTTTAATCAAAAAACTAAGTTTCATTAAATATGTATGTATGTCATATTGGTACAAATAATAATAAAGTGGAACAACCCATTCATATCAAGTTATCTTCACTAATATAATTGTATATATATATATTATAAATATATATTATTCTTTGTTTTTTGGTACACAGCTACACTGACTACATAATTATTATTAAATCAATTCGAATAGTCAAAAATAGTTTTAAAAGCGTTAGAAGTTTTTAAAAAAGTATTTTAAGAGTGTTTACTACATAATAAGTTAACTTAAATAGAGATCTAATTGCCTATTATTTGATTATTTAGAAAAGATAAACGGTTAATTAGTAAATTAATTTTAATGTGTTATTTAGGCACCTATATTACATTTTTAAATTCTTTATAGTACTACTGTTACTCATCTATTAATTTTAATTGCAGATCACATCAATGTTTTTATACCTACCTATTCTTATTTTAAAATATTTAGCACGTCTAAATTATAAATAAATAAATACAGGGAAAACAATAAATATTGAGAACAATTTGACTGCCTGCATTATTTAACAATACAATTTTGAATTTATATCTTAATATTACATTGTAACAAATAAAATAATGTAATTCATTTATTATAAATTTATAATTGATGATAAAATTATATTTATAACAATTTTATTTTTGATAACAATAAAATGATAACGACGGTGTTGGTCTAATCGACTGCGTATAGACAGACCCTTCTTCTTTAGCCTGTATTACTCCCGACTCAAAACTCCTTATTCTACTTCGTTCGTCCTACTTTAATATTTATTATCTCATTAACTTTATTCATACCGTTGATTTCATAATTTAAATAAAAGAAAAATTCTTTATAATATATTTATTATAATAATTCTTTATATAAATAGCCATCAAATTTATAACTTACCCTCCGACTTATATTATAACTGTTTTGCTATAATGTTTAATGATAAAAGCAAAAAAAAAAATTTCTTATGTTAATAATTTAATTTTTTTAATATGCAAAGCAGACTGGCCCAAGAGGTGAATGGGGAAAAATCCACCGGGGCCGCTGTTATGAGAGGCCCCTTCATCATGGTGCACTTTTAATAAAAATATATTATATTATAATTTTATATTCAATTATGCTATAGTTACAAAATTAACAATAATAGATAATAACACATAAATACACAATCCTAGGGCACGAATTCTTTTACATAATATTATTATTTACTTCTAATATCGTAGATATATCTACATTTTGCTAATATGCTTAGTAATCTATAGACAGTATAGATCTTGATCAATTAAAACTGAAACTTCAACATTTTTCAAAAGTCTACTCAAACATATCTAATTCAATAGAAAAAAGAACAATGTAACATACTCAGAGTTCGAAACCGAAGAGAAAAGTGACATGTAATTCGAATTAGAAAACAAAGAAGTTTCTATAAAAGAACAAACAAGTTCTAACAAAGAAGTTGGGATCTATAAAAATAAGTTTCCTTGTAAGATTGATAGTGTAAATATTCGTTTTATTTACAATGTTTATTTAATCATGATCAATAATATTTTTGTTTATGGTTTCAGGTAATGCAGTTTACAGTAACCACGTCTGTTTATACTACACTATGTAAAGCGTAAACATTTTTTTTTAACTTTATCAGTTACAGAAATTATCTGTGAAGGTGCATTTGGTAAGCTGAAACTCATTAAAACTAGATTAAGATCCAATTTAAATCGGGAACATTTTGAGTCTCTGCTTTTAATGTCAGTAAAAAAAGAGCTATTGGATGGAATAGATGTATCGGAATTCGTTAACTATTTAAAAGAATCATCCACCATTATGCATCAAATGTTGAATTTATAAATTTAAATTTAAATAATAAGCATTTAATATTTCATTCATTCATTTGTTACCAATTACACTCGTATTATTATTATAAACTATTTATGCGAAATTAAGGAATTCACTATTTTATGGTAGTAATGTGTTTGATGAATGTCTGTGCTGCAATATTTGACGTAAAAAAAGACTAAATCTAGCCATCTAGGGTTGTTATAAATATACGTAAAGGCTGGTAAATTTGCCAATCACAAGCTCGGATTAAGGGGGGGGGCAGAGGGGGCCATGGTCCCGGGCCCATAACGGATATCAAACAGTAGTAGGCTCCTGGTGGATAGTAGGTTTTTCGTTTTTTAACTATTTTTTTAGCTTGTATAAAAAACAAGTATAAAATGGTATTTAATTTATTGGTTTTGTGTTCAGAGAATAATGGTTTAGAGGTAATTAATACCGATGATATAAATAAGTACCTAATAAATTATTGTCTCGGTAATATTTAAATATAGACATAAAAGATTTTAAGTATTAAAAACGATATAATATAATATTATGAATGATGATAAGTATTATTTATTTCTAGAATATATTGGCGGTGCTAAACACTCTTTTAGGAGATTTTAGTCCATGATAAGCGAGCACAGCGAGCTGCAAATTTTTTGATTATTCAAAAAAAATGTGGCCCGCTCAAATTTCCACCTGGGCCCCGAAGTACTCTCAGTCTGCCCCTGCTAATATATATCACATAACTTATGAATTTATGACAGCGTAGATAACAAAAACTTCACACTTCAATTCAAATGTAAATATACTTACATTTAAAAAATTCCATTAATACGTAAAACATGATTTATTATTATTCTAAGATAAAATATTAAATTTTATGTATCGTACTCTGACCTTCGCTTAGTTACTAATTTTCGCTCTCTTAATAATTTTTCAAATGTTGTGGCTCATAATTATTTTAATATTTATATAAATAATATACCTGTAATATATTTCTATAAAAGCTTCAGAAAAATATTATGTTTTGTCATACCGTTCTTTATTATATCATAGATATCTGAGTAAAAAACGAAAGCTAAACAGGAAAAACTCGATTTCTGTTGTGTCTTATTGGTTTTTTGTTATATAAGTGATTATTTGAAATTTAAAAAACTAATAAAATTATATGGATATACTCATTAAAAATCAATTCGATATAAATGAAAGGCTTTTCGTAAAAATTGAAATTATTTTTATCTATTTTAAGAATAATAAAAAGTTTTATTAAACTGTGTAGCAAGAATTAAATTGTTATTCAAAAATATCAAAACTGTTATTTTTTTGTTATAAGTGGATAGTTTTTAAAATGTGAAGGTCACAGCTTATATATTATAAATAAATAAATCAAATTAAATTATATAAACTAGATAATAGTAGATCATAAAAAAATACTAAATAGATTCTCATTCAGTATTCATCTCGCAATTTATTTAGTTGGAGAATTATCTGGAGAAGTTGTTATCTTTGGTATAAACCGTATTCATTTCAACTAAATTATTTCTCTGGATGACACTTGTTTATTTTACAATCTTATCCAATAGTTTCATAATTTTAATAGGGATACTATGTTTTTAAAATTTTTGTTTTTGTTTTCTGTATTTTCATTAAAATGTTCAGCATTTTTTATAATTTATTAATAATTTTAAAACATAGGTATATGATTGATTATTAAATCTAACTCTTATAATTATTAAAATATTAAATCACATCTCATCATGTTAATAATTTTTATGAGTTATCTAATAAACGTATTAAGTTTATTAATTGTTCAAGTAGTATCCACTTTATACAAATAATTATTATTTTATTTAGATTGCACGAAAAACTTAAGAGGTATATCATAAAGGTGATATGAATAATAATTTTAATATTATTTTATATTTAAACAGAAAGCCATATTAGTTTTACTATAGTCATTATTTGATTCAGATGACCGGTGGGGTTATGAAGAATCATGTTACCTTCAGAAGAAATAATTTCATCAATTAATGGAAATGATGTTTCAACATTAATGACTTCTACCGATCTGAATGAAGTAAGATATTGAGTTTACTAATTTTAAAAAATCGTTGAATGGATAACAAATTGTGGTTTCATATTGGAGTTAGACTAATTAGTGATTGAATTTATGTATAAAAATTTAAGAATTTCACTATAAATTACGTTTTAATTGGTTTTATTTTCCATTACACATGAAGTATAAACAGTATCTGAATATATAAATATATATTAATAGGTTAAATTAAATATTGTTATTTATTATATTAATATTTATTTATAACTTATTGCTTAGATAAGAATAATAATGAATAAATAAAAAAAAAAAATCATAAAATATCATTAATGATGTATTACATAAAATAACTTTATGCTATAAAATCAAAGTTATGGATATTGGATCCCTTGATTTTGTACTTTCGACTATTACATAAAGAAGCGTAGTCATTTAGAAGTATTTTGTATCCAATCGATGCCATTAATTCAGTGATGAAAAAGGATTTTGAAAACAAATTTAAATTCAGAAGTCACTGTAAAGTTTGTTTGAGTTAGATTGTTCTATACAATTTTAAATGTATAATTTAATGTTTTTAAAAAATAAAAACAATATTGAGAAAAAAAACAAAGTGTTGGTAGTTTGTGACATTGGCAATAGCAATAATATACGAATATAAAAGTACTATTTAAAATAACAAATTGTATAGTTATAAATAATAATGATAAGACTCTTGACAAATATGAACTATATTTTTTTTGTAAAATGAAACAAAAAATAATTTAGAATTTATTAAACAGCCATTAGGTATATAAAAATTAATCATAAATGATAATTCAGGGGAATCAGCACAACCGTTCAATAGTTCGTATAAACATATTATGTTAGCAATATTTCTTCTTAATTCACAATAAGTATAACCTAGCTGGAAGATTATATGAGTCCCTTGAAATAGGTATATTTAATTTATAACATAACAATTTTAAATTACTTCTAAATGTTAATAAAAAATATAAAAGAGTCTATAGATAATAATACAAAGTTTATTATCTAGAACTGCCACTTAATGATATATTTACTTAGATTTTATTGAATAGCTTAATTTTTTCATAAATATAATTAACAAGTGTCAATCCAAAATAAGATAATATTGTTTTTGTAATATTATATAATAAGAATAATTGATAATATACAATTAAATGGAAATTTATTTGCTAAATATAATTACTATATAATATTAATTAACTATTGATGAATTGCATTATTTTCCAACAACTTCTATACTTCCACAATATAAACAAATTAAAAGAATGTTACACTAAAAATTGTTATTTTTATTTGGCCCATAATTAATATTAAATTTGAAGATGATAAATGATATTAGGATTTGATAACTTGTTATAATAGATTAGGTGACAGCAAGGCCAGATTGAACAAATTCGGCCCACCGAGTTCTCTGTATGTTACCGACCCACTTACTAACTGGCGGTCCTTGTCCAAATTTCTTTAATCGCATATTTCAATAGGTGCACTAATCTTTAACTTTAAACTATTAATATTTTCTGTTAGCGGCATTTTACAACTTAAAAGGCCAAAAATTGTCGCGGCCCACCGAGTTTTACTCGGTAACTCGTCGGGTCAATCCGGCCCTGGGTGACAGGTGTATAAACATGTTTATATAAAAGCATAATCAGCATTTTTAGAATTATCACAAGTTAAACACGAAAAAAAGTTTCATCGCATAATTGAATCACAATTAACATTTTTAAAATTAAAATCATTTTATATAAATTAATAAAAATTTTTTCTTTATTTTAAGAAAAAAATCAACATAAACATCTGCACAATAAGTTTATACGATGAAAGTATAAAATTACATGAAGTAGTAGATTAAATTGTCACTCATTAGTGCCCCTTAACTAGTTACTTAATTTTTTTTTCTTAAAAAAAGCATAAAATATTTTGTAATAAATCACGACACTATTTCCTTTTTAACTTGTGGATCGGGTGTTCTGGGATTGTAGGAATGGAGAGATTTTTTATAAGAGGATTGGAATGGGTTCGAAGTTTTTTATAAAAGCGTAAATATCAAATTCAAGGTTCCACTTCTATGGTTTTCATATAGAAATTGTTATACAACGTTAAATTAGAAATACATGTCGGAGCGTTTAAAATTCTTTGAAGTAATATATTTTGAAATGTTAGTAGTCTATAAGTGTATGATTTTTTTTTCTTAGCCCCATAATTGAAATCCATTTAACCAGACAGATTTCAGTAGGGCTTTATAAATTATTTGAGAAGAAAGCCATGTTTGATGATGTTGAACAACTAGAGAGCATATTTGTTCAAAGAGAAAGAGATTTTTATGCGTTAAGGACTGAGGAACACTTATAATATTCGATAAAAAAACCGCTGAATGAATGAGAATATTTAGATTATTGACTGCTTTGTCGATACCTTGATCAGTTTTTACCTTCATTTTTAAATTTTTATTTTGGTCTATATTGCTTTGAAATTTATAGTAATCAATTGTTGGTGAAAAAAGAAAAAGTCTATCATTATGTAGTCGTGGCAGCATTAATAATTAGGAAGACGGACGAATAGTCAGAACTTAAACCAAGGGATATTGTTTCCTGAACAATACAAATTACTAAGAATTGTTGTGAGAAAAATATCTAGAATATCTTGTTTTTTCTAAAGGAACTTGTTCAATAAGTAGGTCCTGGTGGAGGGAGAATATATATTTATTTAAATCAACAAAGTTATAAAGTATATTACCATAAGGGTTGGTTGCACGGCATCCCAGCGTGTGTTTAGAGTTATAATCGCCTCCAATTATAAAATTATTGAAATTTTTAGGTGGCGTCGACAAGTATCGAAGTAGTTCATGAGATCTACACTGGTTAGATAGTGTCCAGAAGAATTTTATATTTAAGTGATAACAAATGGTATTTTATTTAGGGTAATTGAGATAGCACATGAATGAATATGATTTTGAGAACAATTTGATAGTTCACAGTAGTTTAATTAGTTCTAAAAAACATGGCGATTCCGCCATGAGTTGCACCATTCGGATGGTTTTATTTAAGTAATAAAGTATAACCAGGGATGAAGACGCATGAATACTTAGTAAAATAGATCTCTGTGACTAGGGCAATATCTATGCTTTTGTCATATAGTAAATTTTGTAACTCATTTGTGTGATTCCTCAGATAATTATTATTAAACAGATTAACTGATAATGATTAATTCGTGTTAGAGTTATTATTCATTTTTTTTGACTTAGAAGGAATGAGATAACTTGCATTAAAATTGAGATTAAAGGGTTTATAAGTGATTTTGAGTCATCTATGAAGGATGTAAGGACTTTGGTTATGTCTGAAGTTGGTGTTGGAGGTAATTGAAATGGTGGATTGGACGTGATCTAAGTAAATGTTTTAGTCATATATGGTACTGAATGATTAGATTTTATATTTTAATTATTTAAAATCGACTAAATAGTATTTTGCAAAAAATTACTTTTTGTATTAGGCGATTTTCAACGTTGTAATTCCTTGTACACATGGCAACCACGGTAGTTGGCTGGATGGTCTTTGGATCACAGTGTACATTTGAATGGTGAATCACATGATTTGGTACATTCAATGGATGGGTGGAAGGTGCTGCAACAAATGAAGCGGGATGGATATCCACAGTAAGCTCGGGTGTGTCCGTACTCTTGGAAATTTAAGCATTGACTTATTGATTTTGGCTTATTCGGTTCTTCAATTTTAATTTTTCTAAATAGTAATGAGGATAAATTGAAGATTTCATTTAAAAGGCTATTGGGTTCAAGATCAATAATAAATTAATAATATTGAGAATGGGTGTTTGTTAATTTTATGTATGGAATTTGTGAATTGTCTGATCTTGTAAAATCATAGTTAAAGTTCAGATTTTATTAATTTAATAGTTGTAGTAAGAACCAAATTGCTGGTTATGACTTGAGTGGGTTTATCTTCTCTTAATTGATATCTGTGATATTCTGCATTCTGTTTTTTTAAGAAGTAAATTAGAGTTTTGTAATATTCGGGATTGATAATTTGTATATTCATGCAGTACAGAAGAAATTATCAACATCAATTTGTTCTATTATAGCTTAACACAGATCTGAGAAATTAATTATACCTTTCACAAAAATTGGTGGTGGTGTTTTATTTTGTTTTTCAGGGTATAATTCTTGTAGAGCAGAGTTAGGTTAGGTTAGTAGGCTTTAATTCTTCGAAGCGACTTTTACTTACAAATAATTTGCTATATTTGTTTAAAAGATCATCAGGAAAATTTTAATGGGGGCAGACTGAACAGCTCATTTTACCAGTTCTTATTAGCCACTCGTCGTTTATGGAATTGATTTTATTAATATACTCGGGTGAATGATTCAAAACGGAGTCAGTGATAATGTTTTCGATAGTATGTTTGTTAAGACACGCTTCGCGCATAGTGCTGTTATTAATTGTAACAGAATTACTTATATCTTTATCTTTTGGTATTGTATTAGTAGATCACCGCATAATTATCTTTGATCAAAGGTCAAGTGACTCTTTTCGTGGCAGCAATAGCATGTCAACTATTTTAATGGAATTTGTTATTTTAATAATATTTAAATTTTTACATTTACTTTTTAAAAATGCGAAATTGACAAAGGTACTTATACACAATTGCGTAATTAGATGAGGTAAACGAAGATTTTTTTTTTAATTGCTTATATTCGAATACCAAAAAGACGATAACCCATCAATTAAACAGATTTACATTTATAACTATAGGAGAATATTATTGTAATATCGAAGATCTATATAATGTCTATATATAAAATTAAAATACCATTTACTCATTCATTGATCTCTTTATATTAAAAATGATATAACGTACGAACAAGAAATTTCAAAGAGTAGTTTTTTCAATATACTATTCAATATACTAGATGTGCATTAGATGAAAAGTAGAAGAAGGGATTTTAATAAATATTGAGTGTAAACTGATTAATTAATTATGAGTTTAATCGGATTTTACCAACATTTCGTAATTTTTAATTGACCACAGTTTTAACATTTTAGATCTCTTTAAACTTCATTTATTGTATTTAGTTGCAGTATCACAATTTTTTTTTACGTCATTCTTGCGACCAAATTATCATATTACATTGAATCAATTACATTTTACGTCCACGTGAACTTGTATTTAATTTCAACAATAATAATGCATATTCTTTCGTGGTCCGTTTGACATAAATTGAACAAAAAATTAGTGCCAGTGCAGAATGTTGAGTACATGATAATTTTAACTTTATTATTTACTTCTTAAAATTATTGTTATCTATATATTGTATTCGTGTGTAAGTCTCCTTGCCAGTTTAGCTTTTAGCTAACAATACTTTTACTTCATAAACAATTTTTAGTATTTTCAAGCAAGAGATTATGCAAATGACATGGTATTTGTGGTATTCTCGTGGAGACTTAATCCGCTTACAGAAGAGTGTCTTGTTTACAAGGTAATCCTTGATACTAATTATCAATTATTTGTAATTTATTAATTTATTAAAGTAATGTGGTAACATTTTATTGAAAAAATGTATATGTAACGAATATTTAGTTATAATTCTGATAAAAACACAATTTAATTAATTAAGATTATTTGTCTATTTAGGATGAAATAGAGCGAAAAATGATTAGATATCTTCTGTGCTTATCATAATATTTAATTCTATGGTCATACTATTATTAACGAATATTAACTACAGCTATCCACTGCTAATTAAATCTAACAATATTTAAAGTTACCTACTAAAAAATAAATTATACACTAAATAACTAGGGACCTATTTAATAATAATATATTTAATTTAACTTAGCTATTAATTATTAACTATTAACTAAAAAAAATGTTAGTATACGACCGCGACTAACCATTAAAGGTTTTAAATCAATCACCATATTTTCTCGGCATTAAAACGGGGGCTATATTTTATTAGAACGTATGTTTCCAAAAAGTATTTTCTTAAGCTCATATTAATTTTAGATCGCATTTTGTTGGAAAAATATTTTATCGAAACGTATATTCTCGGAAATTATTTTATCTGACCCATATTAATTTGGAATAGTATTTAATTGGAAAATATTTTTCACTAACCTCATGAATTTGAAAATTATTTTGATGGAACTGCATTTATTTGAGAAAATATATAGTTAGAAAGTATTCTGTGTGAAAATATATTGTTGGAATGGTATTTTCTCGGAGACAAAATAAATATTTTATTTCATTGCTATTTAAATTTAAAAATTGTATATCAACTTATTTCTGCTATAATCAAAAGTAAACAGAATCTAAATGCCATGTAAATTAATTTAATTATAAATAATGTGGTAATAATTTTGTATCATCTTACAAAAACATATTATATCTTGTAAATTAATTAATATTAAGTAATATCAAAGTATCTCATCAACTCATAATATTCATAGTATTAAACGTTGGAATAACATGGAGAAAATAATGAATTACATAATTATCTTAAAAAAACGGATTAAATGTAGGTACCTACATTGTTAAAATAGAGTTATAGAAGTGTTTTTTGTCTTATAATATACATTTTTATTAATTATATTCATTAATAAGGTTTTATAAGAATATATCCAGTAATCTTTTTGATTTCAAATAAAAATAAAAATAAAATATATATATAATATATATTATAATAACTTTAAGTTCTACATATTATATTTTGTTATCAATTTTGAATAATTGTATTATTAACATTTTTTTCGTTTTATAATATAAACATATTTTAATTGGGTCTAAGTTAAGGCGATCATTTTTCAAATTAAAATGGGACATAACAAAAAAAATGTTTTCACGATTTTATTTACAAACTTATGTTTTTCTTTTATTTAATTATTAACAAAACTAAGTACTATTATGGTTTTAAGGAACAATAAATTCAAATTAATTAATCGCACTTGTTAATAAGTTACTCATTTTTATTATAAACAACTTTATATATACAGCTGAATCCGCTTAATTGGGACACATTACTTAGGTTACCTATTTGTCCCCATTATCCGACTATCCCGATTGACCAAATAACTAATAAACCAAAACTATTAAAGTTAGATGTACATACATAATAATTTTATTTAAAAATTACATACATACATACTTTATTTAAAAATTACATATTATTATTATTATTATTAGCAATAGTACATTATATTTACTATTTAGTATTACCTATTATATCGAATTCACGAATAGCTTTTTCATTATTTTCCAATTGACTTAGTACCGATTTAAACATGCCTATTAATTTATTTAACTCATGAAGAATAGTATTATGAGGTCGAGCCTTAATTTTATTTAGTATAGAAATATTTTCAATTAACGTTAAATCTTTACGAAACATAATTTTTATGTATTAACATAAACTGGGATCAATAAAAACACACATACGTTAATACACAGAGACGAGAGAAGATGAACTAAAGTTTTTCGATTTTGTACATAGGCTAGTTGACTCTTATCGTGGTAGTAGAAGAAAAATAAATGATTGATATAATTGACATTACTTATATAATAGAGTAGCGTTTCCCAAAGTGTATTCCGCGGAACTTTAGGGTTCTGTGGGATAATGCTAAGGGTTCCTCAGACATATGTGATTCTTGAGAAACTTATTTTATATTACATTCGGAAAAAGTATTATTTTATATCATTTAATCATTTAAAAAGAATATGTTTTAAACTAATTTGAATAAAGAGTAATCATTAAAAACATTTTTTAGAGTATTGGTTTTCCTTTTTTTTTTTTTTTAAGAAAAATTAGAGTTGAATTGGAATTAAAGAGATTAGGGTTCTGCGAACTACAAATTATTTTTTAAGGGTTCCGTGATTATAAAAGTTTGAGAACCACTGTAATAGAGCCATAAATATTAGATAATTATAGTTTTGATAAAAAAGTAGATAATTTAGCTCAGAGTACCTAATTAGACGCTTTTATTTTTATCCCTTATAACCGATGGTTTGTCCCAGATAAATGAAGTTAAATTGTCTTAGACGAATACATTCGTTCGATACTATGCCAATTTATCCCTATTAAACGGTTGTCCCCTATATGCGGTGTCCCAATTAAATAGATTCTACTGTGTATAATACAAGAAAAAGTTACGTAAAGCAGGTGGTTGACGATTTACTGTAGCACTGAAATAATGAAGTATGAAAAATAATTTTTTGTTTGCACTTGACATTGCGGTGTTTGTAAATTATATTATATATTTTATTAGTGTAGTTATTAATCTCGATACACTACACACAGTCCCTATCAATTGCCGTCGTCACTCATCACCTATTACCATGCAGTAAAACAGTGTATACACGACAGTCGAACACGTACTAGTTGAATATTATGGAAACAATAATTTATTAATAAATTAAAATTGACCATTGTTATTTTTGACTACTTTCCGAAAATGGGACATTTTATTGCCCGGTAGATTCTCCGAGGAACAACGGAATAAAGATATGAATAAAAGGACCTATGGTCACCTTCCTTGATGAAACAACAGCAATTTTTTTTAGAGAATCCACATTAAAATTATAAAAAATATAGGACATTCTTTGAACAAAGAAAACAGATAAAATTAAATAACATAGTTCATGTATTAATCATGGATATTTTCCTTAAGTTAAATATACCTACTAACAATTATGAATTTTTAAAGTAAATTTTTAAACAAAAATAAATACCTATTAATTTTTGTTTAAAAATTTGTAAGTCATAATATTCTAATGACACTTGTGCATCATTTTTTAATTAAATAGTATTTCCTTATAGGACCTATAAAATATTATCCTGTAATACAATATCTAATACTTGATTAAAGGTATATTATTTGACTTATTCAAAAATATTTTATCATATTATACAAAAACTACAAAGCAACCATGTATCTGCCTACTTTATATCTTTTAAAAATTACTAAACTATTTACTTATATTTTAAAGTTTAATATAGGTAAAATACTTTAGTACCGATATGGCTATGTATTAAATGTCCAATAAATTTTGTTTGTTTATGGAATCAGTGTAAATATTAAGAAATATAATTATTTTTTTTAGCGTTACAGGCCATTTAGGCCCTTTGCTGTCAATACTAAATTCTTTCATTCTTCGCTATTATATACATGATTCATATCTTCATTCCAATCTGGTCTCAGCTCCTTTAGGTCCCTGTTGCATCTAACCAACGTTTCTCCAGTCTACCATGTGGTCTTTTCCTTTTTAAATTATTTACAAATACCGTCTTGACAATACTGTTGTCGGTTCTCCAGACGTGGCTTGCCCACTTCAATCTTGCATCTTTTACAAATTGAGTTATACTTCCTTTCTCATATAGCTTCTTTATATGTTCATTTGAACTTCTCTCCTATACTTGGGTGTCAGGATTATACACGGGACCATACATTTTCCTTAAGAGCTTTCTTTCAAATATATTTAGTTTATTTTCATCTCCTGCTAGCCCAGGTACAACAAAGTTTAATATTCAAAATTTTACACTATACATATATGATCTAATGATTATTAACTAATTATTTATTTATTTATATGTTTATTTTTTCAGGCCAATTTATCAAAGGCGATTGGCAAAAAATCATCGGAACAGCCTAGATTGCTTATGCAAGCCGACGAAGCGACTTTGTCACTTTTAATAGTTGAAAACAATGGAAATTCAAATGATAAAAACCAATCGAATTTAACCGATAGTCTTACAGATGACAAATATAAACAAATTGAAAGTGTAAAATCTGAACACACTCGTAGTGTATTATCTTTAAGCTATAACCAAAATATTCATCCTACTTCGTAAGTTATACAATCCATTAATAAACAATTAAGGTATAATTAATAATATAATTTTAGTTATCTAGATACACTTATAAATATGTTGAAAGGAAATATTGGATGTGGTATTTTGGCTATGGGAGATGCATTCAAAAATGGAGGGTTACTGTTTGCAACCATTTTTACTATCGTCATTAGTTTGATCAGTGCTTACAATCAACATACATTAGTAAGCTATTCTAATAAAATAATAAAAATTTGCAATTCAAGATATTAATATTTTAATTTTTTTATTTTTTAAAAAGAAGTTTTTTTAATTTTTTTTTTTTTTTTATTTTAAAATATTACAATCTGTTTATATAAAAAATATACAATAAGTTACAATGATGACTGATAAAATACTAAAGTAAATTGACGTGAACGACATGAGGAGGAGACCGTCCAATATCAGAACTTCAGAATTTAAGTTTATAATTAATTTTTTTTTTTACAACTTTTATTTTAAAGATATCTAGCCCAGTTTCTTTTTAATTTACGGAGAATATTTTGTGACAGGATGAGAGAGGACATGTTTTTGATAAGATAGTTGATATGATTAATTTATAATAACATTTTTTTTAGTAGCATTTCACAAGTTCATTTACTGTTTGAAATTTTAGGTCGTTATGGAGGGTTGTATTTGTAATGTACCATGTTGCACCAGGTATTAGCCATAAGGTGACTGACTGGGATGGTGGCTTGGATGGGACAGATGTTCACTGGTTTAGCAGGTCCTCATATTTTAATGCCATATGTTCATATTGGTCTAATGATTCATTTGTAAATAAGTAATTTATTTTTAAAACTCATAGTCGATTTTAGTAGAGGCCGGAGTAATTGGAGGCGAGATTTAAGCTGTTTGCGTTTTTGTTTTGTGTGATTTTACCAAGTTAACCTTTTTTCCAGAGTGATACCAAGGTATTTAGTTGATTGGTGTTGAGTAATTTGCTTATCATTCAATTTTAGTAGAGGACATTCACTTTTATTTATAGAAAGAAAAAAGTTCAAATCTAAACTATCATTATGATAATATTAAACAGTAAATTATACTGAAAAAATATTATATAGTTCCTAATTATTTCATAAAATATAATGAAATATTTTTGAAAACATAAACTTAATGAAAAATTAACTTATATTTATATTTATTTATATTTAGCATACAATACGGACGTGAGCCCAGTTTACATTTAATATTAATACAATCAAATTACAAGTGTGATAACAGATAAATCATTGAAAATACACGATTAGGTTAAGAAATTGAATAGGGAGGGTCCGAATTGGCAATAGACTTATATTACATTTAAAATATATATACGGATCATTAAATTTCATGAATAATTTTTATTAATTAATTAATTTATTGAATAACTAAAGGCATGGTCGGATAACAATAAATATCTAATGTAAACAGTATTTACAGTTATAACAATTCAAATATAACAGTAGCATATTATATAATATAACAATATGCAAGTTGGACTGGCGTCAAAATGCCAGTCGGTGATCTAATCTAAATGCCCTTTGGTCATTACCCCTGTAGATTACCCCTACTCTTATAAAACATGATAATATATTTTAGATTCTGAGCCAAGTTGAATTTACTGTAATGTGTCTTTTTTTGTAAGTGACACTATAGTGAGTTAAGTATGTTGTATGCCATGTATAACATGGAATATTTATGGTGGAGGGCTAAATTTTGGTCCCGGAGGGGGGGCTTTTTGGATCCAGGCAAATGCAATCGCTTGATAATTTTAAATTATTTATAAATCATTCATCTAAACTATTTGCATTAATATCATGTATATAATTAAATATTTCCATTTTAAACATATCAGTTATATAATATATATAATATATGACCGTTGATTTGTTGCTTCTTCACCGGGCATATTTTTTTTATACTCTGTCTATAGATTTTTCTTTATAAAAATAATTTTTTATGTAAATGGTTAATCATAATAAAATAAGTTATATAATTAAATGATGGAAATTAAAGAAATTTAGAAATAAGTGAACTAACACTTTATATGTCCAGATAAATGATTATAATCACAATTTGTTTGAATTGAAATCATATAAACTTCTTCCGCTAGATTTATAAGCTATTATTAACTTTAAATGTTATTCATTGACTTCATTATCAAAAACATATCTAACACAGATAGCAAGTTGATTTAAAATAGAAACATCTTGAGTAGTATCTACCATAATACTAAACAGTTTAGCTTGTTTTATATTATTTATTAATTAATTTAGTATTATTTGATCTATAATGAAAATTAGTTTGTTCATTAAAAATTTTGATATGACTATGTACTTTATTTTTAATAAACAATATTTTTATATATTTTTGAAATAAAAATAGCAAATGAACCCTTTCTAAGACCTTGAACTTGTTACCTTTTTTAATATTATATACCTAATTGTTTTTCTTTTTGCTTATTACTTAAATGTATGATGTTTCGTATATGCTCATTCAAAACTAAATCGTAATCTTTTATAAACCAGACTAATACTAAAAAAAATTTCGTGGTAGATAGATTTGTCTTCTAAATTATGAGCAGCACATACTACTATGTATACTTAAATATACTACAACAAATTTAATTCAAATACTCGTATAAAATCACATAATAATCTACTCGTCATTAAATTGGCTTCAATAACTTAACCCAAAAATCCTACCAGTAACGTCAAATGAAACTAGTCTAGTGAACTTATGTAATTAAAACAAGTAAATCCTGGATTAGTAGCTGTGCAACTTTTTGATCAAGCAATCAAGTGTTATTTACTCTTCTAAAAAATTAATTTATTGTACAAACACTGTATAATATTAAATTAATTAATATTATTAAATATATATATATTTTACACATAATTATTACAAACTCTATTATTCTGAGTAGTATAAGAATTTCAGACTTAAAAATAACATTTAAATTATTTTTTTATTAGTTGGGATGTTCAAAAACGGTAAAAAAAAAACTTAAGCTACAACATAATCCAAAGTTTGCTGAGACCATAGAATTATCGTTTCAATACGGACCACAAAAATTTCAAAGCTATTCAGTATTTTTTCGGTAAGTCAATATTTTTACATTTATGTAAATAAAAATTTAGAATATTTTGATTTTTACACACAAATTTTTTTCGTCAAGTGATATCAAATATTGAGAAAACAATTTACTAAGAATGACATCCAAACTAAAATTAATGGTTTCCAAATTAGGTATACTTTTTATTTATCGAGTCTTCCCTCTTTTAATTAGTTTCTGATTGAGCAAAAAGGTTAAAAGTTAACAATTTTTATTATTATACATATTAAATTAGTACATCATATAAATAGTGATTAAATACTTTTCTGTGAATTTAATTTAGTGTAAAATGTAATATTTTAAAATTGTTAAGTATTGTTATTAAATTTTTAGGTAAAAAATGATATTTATATAAAATTATTTGAATTTAAAATTCTTAAAAAAAATATTTACTAAAAAAATATAATGTTTAAGTTTACATATTTGTTTTATTTTTATATAATATGATTCATAACTAATAATTATATTATGATATTTATTTTACAGGAAAAGTGTTAATAGTTTTATAGTCATTAGTCAGTTGGGGCTTTGCTGCGTTTATGTTATTTTTATTTCGAAGTCTCTTCAGCAGGTATGTTCATTTTTGTTTTTCTATAGTGTTTCTATGTCGTATTTAGATTTGAGATTATTGAAAAAAAAATGTTATTTGAAATTTTTAAAACTTTCTATAATGCTCGTAATTTTTTTAAAATATTAAAATTGTTAATGTATCGTAATAAATGTATCTTTCATACTTACGAGAAGATAAGAAGACATATATTGTTGGTTAAGTATTTATAGTATTTTAAAGCTGTCTAATTTACAAATTCATGAAAATAAACTCTCTATTATGGCATTGAATCTTAGATAGTAAAATACTAATATTTTAGATTTGGGCAATCCTAAAATTAAAAATATGGTAGTATGAATTATTTAAAAACTATTTATCTTAATAAGTTATAATTTGTTAGTTTCCTTTTTTTATTTATATATATTTAAATATAATAAAGTATAATAAGTTATATCTGATACTAAAAAATATCGAAATAAGGATACAGTAAACTACTTTAACGCCATAACTAAAAGATTATAACAGGGACAAATATCCTCTAAAAGAGAAATTCGGCAAGTATTAGTGAATTCATTAATCTACAATAAAATAGTAAACAAGCAATTCTACATGAACATAAAATACTACAAAATACAATCAAATGATCAGATATTAAGATGTCACATTTGCAAAAATTATGGGCATATTGACAAATATTGTCTAACCAATGTACACAATTGTATGATATAATGAGTTAAAAATAATCCAAATAAACGCAGCAAAAAACCATATAATTAACGAAGAATTATTACACTACACTGAAATTAACAATATAGACATATTATTCATACAAAACACTATAATCTAGTTGGACTAAATATCTCTCCTTGCTGGATAATATGTTACAAAAACTAACAAGCTCGAAAAAAAGAGAGAATAACAACAAACTTTCAATTGTAGTGTTAAATCAAGACCTTAAAGTTATAGAGCTATAGCAATATACTTTGTTGTAACCAATATTGATATTAATGTTACAAAAATTATTATTATTTCCGTTTACTTTCAATTCAAAACGTCTACAATCAGATTCACTACAAAACAGACAAACGTAATAGGGAAATAGGTTCAAAAAAAACTACAATAATTTGGGGCAGATGTAAATGCATTCTCTAAAACAGTGGTTTTTAACCTTTTAGGGTCCACGACTTCTTTTGATTTAAACATAAAATATATGGCTCCCATAAAAATATTTAAAATAAACAAATTTACATTATTTAATCTAACTTTTTTAATAAAATAAATATGTAATTATTAATAATAGGAATTTTTTTTTTTTACATTAATTTTTTTACAATTAAAAATTAATACAATAGTAATAATTTTAACATTTATTGGGACGGCAGTGCTTATTTTTATTGCATAATTTTTTTAAATCGTGCTGTAAAGCTCGATTTTTATTTCCTTTTCGGTATTCAGTCTTGATCTATATTTAAGTTAAATAACTGCTAAGATCAAAAAACACGTTTCACATAAGTATAAAGAAGCAAACGAAATCAAATTCCTGATAGCCTTATTGGCTACAATCGGATACTTCTTCTTTATAACTTTACAAAATTGTGGTAAATTCTAGTACCAATAAAAGTCTAAACCTGAAACGATGAAATATTAAAAAAACTAAATAGGAACTATTAACTAGAATACTCTAAGAAGAATTTAATAAACAAGAATTAATTGGGAATATCAATCAAAGAATTAAGCAAATAACTACTATACTTACAAGAGTAGCGTACACATCAATACTGATATCTGAAAATGACTTATGACCAAAATCCTAGTGGTGGACACCAGAACTAGATCGAAATAGAAGATTAATGAGGAAAAAGTTTCTGTATATTGGGGTTAGAAAGACCTACAGTAACTCCTGCTTATCATAAAAGTGGTGACACGTCAAAATATCCCGGTAAAAATATCCCGGTCAAAATATCCCCGACAAAATATTCTATGACAAAATATCCCGCGTAAAAATTACCCCGAAAAAATATCCCACGTAACTATTAATTAAAAATGTAAACCTTTTTATACAAGTTACATAAATATTAATACATTTATTGAATAGAAAAATCAAGACATTTTTAAAATTATATTATAATGGTATGTTTTTCGTCAAAAATTATTACACTTATTATGATAATTTATAATATAAGTTACATAAAGATATTAATACATTTACTGAATACAAAAAATGAATTAAAACATTTATACTAAGTTATGTGCTATTGATTTTAAATATTTGAATATAAATAAATGAATAAATGAATAATACTAGATTAGATAAAGTGCGATTGTTACTTCTAATCGCAACAGTTATTATATTATATTTCGTCGGGGATATTTTGTCGGGGATATTTTTACGCGGGATATTTTGTCATAGAATATTTTGCCGGGGATATTTTGACCGGGATATTTTGTCGTGGAACCCATAAAAGGTGATTAAAAAGAGGGAAGCAGTAACTACTACTACCGATCATTGGCGATTTCCGCAGCATAACTAACGTCAATGGAAATAATTTATGATGGCAGCTTGAAAATATGTCAAGTATATCAATTGCGATGTGAAAAGAGAAATTCACTACATTAAAATTCCTTGCGAAATAGTATGGATCACATATTCGATTGCAAAATCAACCATAAGGTTAAATACGATAAGAAAGAAGAATAAGCATAGTATATGTATTTGATTAAATTTAATAAAACAAAAATATTGGATAAATATTCTAATAAACAATATAGTAATTTGATATAATATTTATTTTATTAGGTGATGAGTTGGTATAACACACACGTTGATGTGCATTTGAGTATACTAATAACAATGGTACCTGTTTTGATTTCATCACTTATAAGAAATTTAAAGTTTATTGCTCGGCTATCAGCATTAGCCAATGTGTGTATGTTTGTTGGTATATTTGTAATTCTATATTATTGTACCATTGATTTACCACCCATAACCTCGAGAACACCTGTTGCTCACTGGACTACTCTGCCTCTATTTTTCGGCACCAGTATATTTGCATTTGAAGGAATTAGTTTGGTAATTTTTTTTTTTTTAGTTTATCTTAAACTTGTACTTGATTTTTCATAATTTATTTTGCAGGTTTTACCTCTACAGCAAGAAATGAAAAGTCCTAAACAATTTACAAGCACATTTGGAGTATTAAATGTAGGTACGGTGATCGTTACGACCCTCTTACTAATTACTGGTTTTATGGGTTACTTAAAATTTGGAGAAGCAGTACGAGGTAGCCTTACTTTAAATTTACAAGAGGAATTTTTGTAAGGAATTTGTAATTTTTTTTTTTTTTTGATAAAAATATAATTGGAAAATTAAATTTTACAGATTATCTAAAGTCGTTATTTCCAGTATGATGTTAAATATTCTATGTTCATATTCATTGCAGTTTTATGTCTCAATTGAAGTATTATGGCCAATAATTGAAAACAAATTCGGACCATTTAGATCGCCTTTACTTTGGGAAATAGGACTCCGTGTAATATTAGTCCTCATTACATGTTAGTAAACTCTATAATTATTTAAAATGTATGAATTTAAATAGGTAATTTTATAATTTAAGTAAACAAGATTTTATGTGTTATTCATTTAATGATAAGAATTCTTCTGCTTTCATTTCTAAATGAAAACTATTAATATCATATATGAATATAATTTTTGTTATTTAATTATATGACACATATATATAACCCATATTGCTATGATAATTATTTCCTGTAGTGGCACTAAGGGTTAGCAAATTAGAGCTTTACTGTATGGGCATCGATCCAATCTTAAACATTATAATTAGGTCATATATTTAATAATCAGAAAAGAATAGTAATATTTCATCCTAGAAACACGAAAATACGAGTACGTAATTAAGAATAATCTATATTATTCTTAATGAAAGATACTGTAGATACTATAGGTACTATTATATAATAACACTACCCATGATCCAAATCCGTATCTCATATTGTATTATTTGTGTTTATAGTTAACAAGTGTAATCTAATTTTTGGAGAAAAAGACTTCAGAAATGTTGACATCCCATTAGTTTTACTTAGTAAAATATTTCGGTGTCGGCACTGTTTATGTCCTTCAAAGATTTTAGATGACTAGTTTGTCTATCAAATATTTATATTGAACCAAGGGACGTCCTTAAATTATAAATCGTAACACAATGAAATCTTTTCGCTTTAATCTCCAACTGATTCTATATCACCCCATGGTTTTTAGCAAAGATTTTTAATTCATATAAATGTTTTTTATGCTCTCTATTACAATTAATTTGATTATTTCACTATTTTATTTTTTTTATTTTGTCTATTAATTTAAATTTCTTATAACATCTATATGAACAATAGCTTGGGTGTATCTTTAGTAGATTTAAATATCCTAAGCATTCAACTTGAAACTGTATTAAAATGAATGATTGTTTGTATTGATCCCATATTCTGTAGATATTTGTAATATATATGTCATATTGAAAATATCAACTTATTTACGATCAGGGGTAAAGTGGCAAAAAAAAACAGAAGGGATTCTAATCTATATGTCATACTCGTCGTCCTTATATTCCCATACAATTACTATATAATTAATTATAAATAGTTATATATATTCTAAGGTGTTGTTTATGCAAAATTTCCTCCACAACCTATTCATGTGCTATAAAAATATATAAACTTGTAAATGACTTACTTATTGTTTTAAATAACAAATTTTAAATTTTTTTTAATAAAATAATTATAAATTAAAAAAGGTTATACACATATAAGTATATATTACAATATAATTTATAATTTATATTTAATATGAGTTATTTTTGTTTATAGAACACTATTTAACACCTAGTGACATCAACTAAATTGCAAAGCTAATTTTTCAACTATTTTATTGTGTATGATTATTTTTAACAAACAGTTAGAGTGTTTCAGTAAACTTTCCGGAGAAACGTTAAAGAGGGCGCTTTATAAGCGATGTGAGAAGTAGGCTGCATAGTCCCCTTGCGCCTCCCCCCACTTTATATCCTGCTTATGATGTATATACATTTTGCTTTAGATAACTAGAGGAAATATTTAGATTATCATAGTGTTTATAACTAAATAATTTGACAGGAGTGTAGTCGTCATATGTGTGCTTACAAATAGCCTGGCCTATCCAATATAATTTTTGTAACTATATGTGTCTACGTGTTTGAATTCGTTCCAGTCATCGGGGCCGATGTTATTCCACACTTGACGATGTTCATATCGTTGATTGGCGCCGTGGCATGTTCGTTTCTGGCGTTGATATTCCCGCCGCTGTGCCATATTGCTGTCGTCAATGCCGGTGACCGAGGCGACAATAAATACGGCCTGTTCAAGTGGCAATTAGTGATGGACGCGCTCACGTTAGCCTTCGGTACGATCGGTTTCTTCACTGGAACATATGCTAGCGTTTACGAGATATATGGCGCGTTTCGAGGGGTAACGATAGTCACCAACAGTTCAGATTCTACTACACAAGCTTCGTTCCTATCTTGACGTTATTTCTAACTCCAAGTGGCATTTTTTGCCGAAATATGGTTGTTGTACAAGTAATATCAGTCATTCTGTACCCACAGTAATCACAACCACGTATTATAGTTGTCATGTGTATAAGCATCGTGCATTTTGTTATTGTATCTATATAAAGTATTATTACAAACACTTGCTTATACTTTCTTTTTTTTTTTTAATGGTTTTCTGTATAACTTTTTTAAGATATCCTAAATGTTTTTTTCTTTATAGTTATATCACTCATGCACATGGACAAAAATTTTATTCTGCATTACCTATTTATACATTAAATTATTAAGTATACTTAATTAAAAAATACTAGGATCATTTCAATTATATTGTTATATGAGTATATTACTCTCGAATATAGAATGATACGAATTGTACACTAATTTGTAATGTCGAAGTTAATAATTAAAGTCAATATAAATTATTTATTTTTTGATATTATTGAGTATAAGTATAATTATAAATTCAATAAACTTAAATTTTATAAAATGTCTCTCTATGAAGTCTTATCATATAGGTTAGGGTCTTATCATACTAACATATCACTATGTAAATAATGAATAAAAAAAAAAAAATGCAAAAACACTAATTTTTATTTATTTATTTACGTCCCGAAAGCAACACTACACAATTAAATTTAAAATATTACAATTTACAATTATAACAATTTATCACAAAAATAATCTTTTTAATTTATACATATTATTAAATAAAAAAATCATATTTTTAATTCTACTGATAGGTTCGTAATTACTGTAATTTTGAGTATGATGTTTAGACTAATAAAAAAGGAACATCATTTTTTAGAATTAAATGTTGGAACACACGTTGATTTGGATCCCAGTAAATCTGAATCTTAAACATTATTAATTAATAAATTATAAGGAAAATTAATATCTAAGTATTTTCTTCTTTGTGTTAAAGAAACAGACCTTAGTTTTACTCTTAACAAAAATTCAGAGTCAATTAAGTTACTACATTTATAATTAAATATTTTTAAAATATAATTTTTAGCTAAAAATAGAACTTGAAATAAAATTTTTTAGACAAATAATAAGAATAATATCTTTACAGCTAAAATAAATGATATTTTTATAATACCTAATCAAAATAATTCTCGGGCACCATTTTTATTATCAATTTTTAATTTTTATATGAATTAAATTTATATTTCTTTTAATTAGTAATTGATTATTTTGTTCTCGCTTAAATCAAATAACCTCCGAGAAACTGGAAAACTTTCTCATTTTTCTAGTATTTAATAGTCAACATTTTTATTCGCAGTTTGAAGTATAATAAATTTAAATTATGTCTTTTTTTAATGATTAATTAATTTATCTCTTATCGTCAATATCAAATTGTCTCAAGTTGCCTAGGAAATTATTTTTTTAAGCAATTGCAATTTAAATTTTGTTCAAAAATAAATACTTTATACATAAATAAAATAGTATGTTTAATTGAATTTAATAAACAAATTTTATGGGTAAATAATTATAATTTTTAAAATTAAAATAATCAAAATTTGTTGTTTTTCAGTCATTTTGTTGCGAACAATTCTTAAAAAAATCTAAAAAATATCCATAAAAATATATGTAAATATTCACGTTTAAATTGGATTTTACTTATCTATAATATATGGACCAAAGTCTAGAAATATTTCATAAAATGTTCATTAGTGGTATTCAATTTTGAAATTTTTTAGATTTTGGTGACCCATCTTATCTCAAATAATAAACACCGTTTGAATGATTGTTTTTTTCATTTAGGTGTACTCGTAAATGATAGATACTTATTAATAAATAATAATAAAAATATTTAAATTTCATCATAAAATTAATAATATTATATTATAAGGTATGATTTATTTGATTAAGCGGTAAGAATATCACATATGATAATAATTCATATAAGTGGAAATTCAAGTAAAAATAAAAAATATACAACAGATATTCTCCAAAAACGAAATACCATTTTCCTCCACTGTTCATTTTTCACAAAAAAAAAAAAAAAAAAGGTTTCCCATTTTCCTCCACATTATTTATAATTAAAGTTATGTCTATATTATCCTCCAATATTTTAGCCAGTGTTGTAGGATCACATTTTGCGCATATCTGTTGATTGAATTCTGATCGTATTCTTATTGGCTAGGGAAAAACGCTAGTTCAAGTGTCCGACATCACTCGCAGTTTATAATAGTTGATAACTTAATATTTTAACTTTGATAACGATTAATAAAGATATGTAAACAATGTATACGTTTTTGTCCATATGTTATGTGTTTATTAAACATATAACATATGGGCAAAAACGTATACACTTATTTTGTTATATTGTATATCATAATTTATCACTGATTATTATGATTACACTCATTGATTAAAACAGACACATAAATATACGATATACTCGTATAAATAAGACTATATTTGAGGCGCATAGAACCAGAACGGCCTAACCCACAAAAAATTAAATTCTACTTTATGCGATAAAACGTTTCAGATTTATATTACGATTCTACAATTTTATTATTTTATTTTTTGGAGGAAAATGGTCAAGAATTATTATTATTTATTTTTTTTGTGGAAAATGGACTGTGGAGGAAAACTGCATCTCATTTTTAGAGGAATATGAACCCGCCCAATACACAGTATATCAGCTTAATAGTGCTTTACATTTTACTGCACTACAATATAAGTTCTCAAACTGCTGGTGCATGATTATTGTTATATTGTTTATATTAGGTATAATATTTATAAAGTAATATCTGAAAAACGATATAGTATCATTTTGATTCAATTTTAAATAAGTGTAATGTAATTAATTCATATTTAATGATTTATGTCATGATTTATACCAATACTATTTTTGAATACTACTTAGTAATTGTAGTTATTAGTAAACGCTATTTGAACATAAGTAGTGAATCCAGATAAGTCAGGAGTCTCAGATCTTTTATAGACCGTCAAGAAGCAACTTTCGCTGAGTTGTAATTTTATGTTTCAGTATTATCCAACATTTTTTTCGGTACTAAATAAAGTAGTATTAAAACTTAAAATACTGCAATATTTATTGTAAAGTTGTTATTGTATTGTATTGTATATTTTTGTTGTATTTCATTGTAAAGTTTTATGCAGTTGTACATTTTTTTTAAAAAAAAACCATTATCAACTAAGAATAAATATATGTCACTATGCATATGTTACATGAACGTTAAGAATTAAACGAGCTGTATCGATCAAATAAAAGTTTACACGCTCAGATTTAATATATATAATTATTCCCGTAATAAATGTCCTCATATGTTTAAAATCCATGCATTGTCTTTAATCACTGAGTTGAGTATACCACCTTCTCGGCCTTCATTAAATATACAAACATTTTATTATATATTTCTCTCTTAGTTTTTTTCGGTAACTTAAAACATTGAATTTGATCTCATAATTCAATGGTTTAAAAAACTCAACGATGATTTAGTAAATCTGAATAATTAATGTTTGCCATTTATTGTGTACTATGTAATCCTATATGTATATCGTACGTGTATTCATCGAATATTAATCAGTATTGTGTTATTTAATATACGTACTATTTGATTATATTGTATACTAGTAGTATTTGAGGTATAGACAACATCTAAGAGTCAATTATTTAGATAAATATATATTTTAATTTTTAATAATATATCATAACATTTTATCTAGGACCAGTAGATAATAATTACACACCTGATTTACAAATGAATATGTGTAATACTTTGATATTAGTACTCTGGTATTTAATTGTATAATAACGGTATTATATTTTGGTCGTTGATTTATTTGATCAAAGGTTACTAAGTGTCTACCTCTCGTTAGTCACGTGTTTATCAATCGAATTCGCAACACACGTGCTCGAAATATACCGATCAAAGGTATTTTATTGCTATCAGTAAATTAAAAAAAAAAAAATTATTAAAATTTTTTCATTTGCCAAAATACTTTGCATTTATTCATGTAAACTCAAAATTAATAATATGTATGTATCTAAAAGATATTTATAGAATTTTAGATAGATAATTTATTGTTATATTGTTTATTTAAATATATACATACATTTTATATTAAATATAAAACCATTTAACAATTAAGAAATTAATATAAAAATAAAAACAATTTTTGGTAGACCTTAAGTTTATTATTCAATGCATTTTCACGAACCACATTTTTGTTTTGATAGAACCTTAATGTAATTCGATCTAGGAAACAAATATTTACTAAACCGATAAATATAGAGAAAATATTTATCTATTACACTTAACGTATTAATGAAATTCGTTGTATTTTTCACATTCAACCATACGAACTAAATAATAATTTAAAAATTATTCAATTCAAATTAATAATTAAAAAATGGATAGTACAATTGTTTAAAATATAAATGTGTAAATCAGAAATCACCAAATGATAAGGCTCTTATCAATGTTACTTGGTGAATATGATTTCTAATGTAAATAAATAATCAATATTGAAACATAAGGTAATGCATTTAAATAAAAAGTTAACATTATAAAATTACTCTATCATTAATAGTCACTGTTAATGAACCATTTAGAATGTTACCATAAAATCATATTATTATCATGTCATTTGGCTGTAATATAAAATCCTTTGACAAAAAAAATTAGTAATGACTAACAGAACTATTGGGAATATATATATATTGATGTTACCATTAAAGATGTATGTGTAGTTTCATAAAATCATTAGGTATTTAAAAAAATAGTTATGTTAATCTATGGAATGTTTTATTCAAGTATGAACTATATAATTCATACTAATATAATATTAATATTATAATATAATATGCAATTTAATCAGTTGTATATATTAGAATAACTTGGGTTTCTTTTAAAATTAAAAGCTTAAATGTAATAGTGTTTGACGGTAATCATACGATATGGTTTAGTCAAATAAAACTTATAAAATTCGTATCGAAAGAATTTATTCAATAGCCAACAAAATACAAATGTTTAGAAAATACATACATTTGTGTTCCTGATTATGTGTGTTTGGGGACATTGTCTTACCACAATGTGAATTAGCTCATCCAATCAGTAAATTATTTTTTATTTTATTTATTGATCATTATAAATTAATAGGTAACCATAGTGAT